GGAAGGATATTGAAATAAATACAGAGTGAGTGAGGAACAAACATATATACAAACTTGCACAGCTAAATAATGCCCCTATTTTAGATAATAATTTAACAAACACCATTGGACAAACAGATGCAATAATAGTTTGGACATGTTTAGCGGATACACTAATAATATAATAATATGAGGACTTCGAAGATGCATGAGCTTTCATTACATATGAATCATAAATCTATTTTCGAAACGAAAATCAAAGAGTACCTACTTGAAGAAACAGTTATATTTCAAGAATTACTGTAGGTATGTATAATGTTGCATGTTTAGGATTAGTAGAGAATGGAATCATTCAATCTTTCAGCAACAAAATCAACAACCAGCAGCCCATCAATCACAGATATTAATGAAGAAATCCAGATGATCCAGACTATGATATAAATTTCTTCATGGTATATGATATCTCACTTCCAGGCAACACTCATATCAATATGATAAAGAGTGAGGTTCTCCATATCTGGGAATTGTTTTCCTGTGGATTGAACTCTATTGTTGACAATAACTTGATCAATATAATTGATTACCTACATACATAACTTTCAAGTTATTAGGTAGGTACATAGGTGAATTTTTGACCTAGAGTTAGCAACTTTTTGAAACAAGTGGAGAAACAAATATCTATCCTGCATGATGAAACACAAATACCTATTATTGTAAATTGTAGGTACCTTTTCATGATGAGTATACAGAGTGATATGTAGAACTAAAATTAAGATGTTTGATGTTTCCATAGTTGTGATATTTATTGTTTGAGATCATGGCAATAATATACACACATGGATATTTTCAGTTCTTGTTTTTTTATGGGGTATTTATACTGCTAGTTTCCTGAAAAAAAACTGTGATATCAGGATTTTTATGTAATCATTCAACAACTTCAGGTAAAGAGTGAATTCCACATTTCTGTTATACCCAGAGGATTCACAAAAAACTGGGAGACCTCAATTCTGTTTTTTGAAGTTCCACATTTTTCAACCAGTTTGAAAATAAAGAGAGTGATGAAGATCTGAGTGAAAATGAGATAATTTGCTTTCCAAGTGGTGATATAAACCGGGATACCTATCAAAAAACTTATTTTCACTGAGATATATGCATTACCCTGTATATTTTTTGACAAACCTAGTTGAAAAATAGGACATCAAAAAACAGAATACCATGAATATTGAATTCATTCAACCCCGATAACCAACGGCCCTGAAAAACTCCTCTATTGGGGGAATAAAAATTCTCAAGCGGCCAATTAATGGCAGTCTCTGAAAAGTCTCAATCGGGCCAAAGATATGCCATGAATGCGGTACATTTGAGTACTTGCATCTGCCCACCAGAAGCCCTGCAATATAATGAGCGGCATACTGATGGCTCTAGAGAGGCGGTCGGCTGTCGGCCGCCGGGACACGGGCTAGCCGGCCCAATTTAGTTGTACAATAGAGGACCGCTGTTACCGCTCGCCGGCAAGTTTCATTGTACCTTTAGAGGGCCGCAAAAATCATGTTTGCTGGGGGGTGGGTTTGGTTACAACAGGGTATGTCACGACAAGCTTACACTATCTCTGTATCGAGAATCAGTCGAGAGATATCCATGAAAACTCGCAGAATACGCTATCTTCATTTGAAATATTTTCATCAATGCAGTGTTGCCGCTTCTATCGAGAAGTATCAACATCTTTGTTATTTCAAATTGAATTCCCTGTATTTCATTGCATATTTAGATTCTCCCTGAAGAGCTGATTCCATCGATGTATCACTTTGGGGCTAATCGGAAATGATTACAGTAATATTGGTTGTTCAAAATCAAGATTTTCAACTTTAGGGTTTGCTCGTATCGAAACTATTATCATCGGCCAGAACGGCTCACATGTATCTATCTCAACTTTTGATTTACCATTCACTGGTATTTAATCGGAACAGATACAGGATGATCAGAATACAGAATCTTGAACCACACTGTATCTGTTCCGATTAAATATTAGTAAATAGTGAATCAAAAGTTGATATTAGGACATCTGAGCCGTTCTGACCGATGAATAGTTTCGACACAAGAAAATCCTGAAGTTGAAAAATCTCGACTTTGAATACCCAATATCTCTGTAATATTTTCCGATAGCCCCCAATATATCGGTGAAACTAGTTCTTCATTATAAATATAAAAATGCGATGAAAAAGAAGGTGTTCCTTTTGGAATATCAATGTTGCTACTACTTTCTAGTAGAAGCGGCAACACTGCATAATCGAAAAGATTTCAAATTAAGAGAGCGTATTCTGAAAAATGACCGATAGTATAAGCTCGTCGTGACATACAAACACAAATTCAGTACAACAGACGATGACAAGGTGAGAAATGACTTCTTTCATGTGGTCGAATAGAATATTATATGACTTTATAGGGACATAATTGACCTCCAGTATTGAACGTCAATAAGACGTCATGGAATATGACGAAAAGTCATATTTTGGTCAAAAGACGGGATGGACCGAAAATGACGTGGAAAAGACGTTTATATTAAGGTCTTTTCAGGTCAGTCTGCTACCTGGAATCCATCTAAAATATTTTCATCACTACAGTTTTGCCGCTTATACTTAATAATAGTATAGCAACTTATAATGTTGAATGAAACATTCTGATGTATATTATGTCATTCTTGGAATCCTTGAAAGACTTTCCAAAAATTCTCCTGTTAATTTCGAATAGGTAACTATTTGCCATAGTTTCCGCGATAAAAAATATCTTCTGAAAGTTTTGTGTAGAATCTAAGCTTGGAAATTCTTTCACAATGAAAACTCACTAAATATCGTAATATTATTCTTCAAACCTGCATTTTCGAATTAAAACTTCCTTGTTTTAGATGTATGACAAACTGACATTTATCATACAGGGCGTGGAAAGAAATTCTGAATTGAGAAAAACCCAATCACGAATCTGCGATTGAAGGTCTATAAAAATAACAAGTTTCCATCGTTCAAGTTTGAACCCCTTGATTGGGTATGAAAGTATTGAAAAGGAATATTCTCAGATATATTATAAACATGAAAAAATGGATAAATTCACGACTCAACAAGAACAGAGTATGTATACTAGTATATTTCTCCCATACATTCCAATTTTCATACCAATTTGGTAAGTAATATATTTTTTATATCGTTATATTCATCATAGTATTCATCCGATTCTGGAAGAGAATGTCAATTCTCAATTTCAGACGATATTCATTTTATGCTCAAATTCCTATCGTGTATGTTCAATTGATATAATTCAATGTTCGTCGTGGCATATAGCCAGGAAAGTAGTTGTTTTCTGTTGAATATACCGAGAAAGAATTAATAATTTCATCACATAGAGAATGCGAATTCTCAATGTATTTATTCAAATGTATCCATTTTTTCATGTTTATAATATATCTGAGAATATTCCTTTTTAAAACTTCCTTATTCATAAGCCGATTTCTTCGATGTTTTCTTCTGTATCCTTCCACGTAAGTAATTCGACAAATGTTACTTTTCTAGTAAAAAATGTCGGACATGCGAATCTGTCCAAAAATATGAAATGTATGACAGGTTGAGGACATAATCTTCAATTATTTCCTACCGTAACAATTCCACAAATATATTTTGTAATATTTATTCGATATATAGATATGATTCCTTGGCTCATTCTAAGGAAAAAAGTATATACACAAAAGCACAAATTCTTAGAATTGAAAGTGTCAACGCAATTATGTTTTTTGAACGATATCTCATGCAGGAACCATGTGACTTATAGATCTCAGCTCGAGTACGAATCTGACTATTGTCGAGGTTCACCCCTTATGCATTCTTTATATGTTAGTTTTATTTTAGTTGTTAGGTTTTTCACCTATAATTTATATGTCACGTCATCAATATTTCCTACGTGAAAAACCTGAATTCTGGTTTGCATGGAGCTTTTTCGTGTACAGCCTGAGGGGAAAACCGCACTATTCCATTTTGTGAAGCAAAAAAATAACAAATTCTGATACTCTAGAGGCATCCAAAAGAAAATATTTCAATCCAGCCATTCCTTCTTGCGTGAAATCATCTGAAAATAGATACCGCCACCTATTGAATAGAATTTGTGGCTTCATTGCTCTCATAAGGATGGTTCATCTCGTTAGTGTTATCATCAAGGTTGATTCTAATTATAATCAACTACAACTTAGCAGAATAAACTTTTCTTCTTGATACTTTGAACACTTTTTCCATGTTTCTCATAACGATTGAAGGTCTTTTTCTGAGAGGGTTCACACTTCAGTGTTTCTGAATGTGCTTTCAGATGCCAATTCCTCCGTTGTCATAGGAATCATATTCATATGTGGGTAGGGATAATAAACATACGAAATCATGAATATTGAACAAATGGATACAGAAGCAAATTTCTTGAGACACTCTGTATATTTATGAAATCATTTCGGATCAAACCATGAAACAGTGTTGATAATCCCGAAGATTGGTGGTCAAATGTCAGACATGCGCAATACGCCGAATTGATTTTGAAAATTAAAAAGAGAACTTGGAAAATATATGAATCAGAATATAAAATCATACCAGTCTTCATATTTTCATATACATCAGCAATGTTTGACCTCTCATTCTGTTTAGAAAAGTTCAAACTCAGCAAGAATATCAAACGTTAATGATATAATGTCACTCAAAAACCTCCTAGCGAGATCCAAAGTTTGGCCAGGGTTTGGTCGTCATTTTGTATTTCGAAAAAATGTGGAAAAGTTTCGTCTTGATCGATGTTATCTCGAAGAAGATCAAAATCAATGAAATCGGCCTACAAACAGAAAAGATTCCATTCGAGAACCAAATTTTGTTATTTTTGACAACCTTTTATAAACCACGAGACAGAAAATTACTATCGTATTGATAAAGCTCTTCTTCTGTACCTTGTATATGACTACTATTTCTCGACATTGATATCATTTATAATAAAGCTATTGATTTCAGGATGAAAATCCTCATACACTTCGCATCTATTTGGTTAGTTTCGATTGTTGGAGCAGCAGATCATTCCAAACCAGAGTTGCTCAGATCCCAGGTATACATCTATCGAAAAACATCGATAATAACAGTGAAAATCTACCACTGTCTCTATAATGACACAAGAAATGCCTACTATGACGTCACTGACCATTGCATGCAGGCTTTCGATACAGGGATATTCATAGACAAATGGAATGACAGGAATTTGCTGAAGAAAAAAGGTTCCGGTGTCGTTCGAATAGAAGAATATACCACCAAAGCTGATCTGCTGACGAATGAGCTATTCCTGAGATCAGGGACTGTATGCAGATATGATAGAGGATTCTGTTATGATCCCAGAGAAACACTCAATTATGCTGTGGTATGGGAGGTAGCAGCTAGAACCGTACAGAAGTGTCCAGATAAGTTAGACCAAGTATTCTATGGGTTCGTTGATATTTGGAATTTCAAGACCAAGAATCTAAAATATCTGTTTTACTATGATCAACATAGTGATAGATCATTTTATTTGAACCTTGGGAATGCTTCTATGTGTCACAATAAAGCTACATGGACTTCAGGTAATGACTTTCTTGTATCAAAATGGCAGCTAACAAAATTTTCGAAGCCAACTCTCTTACTGAATGAGAAATACTTTCCACTCAAATCGAAGAGAGCTGTCACTGAGGCGATAATGAGAGATTATGATCTAGTTGAATATCCATTTGATTTTGATAAGACAATTGATAAATCACATTTGTCTGATAATAATAATCTGAAGACGATTCTCGAGCGATATCAAAAACTTATATTGGATACTACAACACAACTGAAGAAATTGTCAACCAAGGGCGAATCGAAGAATGCAAATACTGTTGATGTTCTGAGGATTATCGATAGTTTGAAGATGAGGTTAGCTAAGACAGAAGCTGAAATCGGGAAGGTCGATCAAAAATGTATTGACAGCAAAGATAATTCTCTAAATATGAAGAATGAGCTGAAGAATTTGAAGGAGTTATTCGAAAATGACAAACGTGAACAAAATAGAAATTACGACTACAATATATCAAGAATTTATCACAAATTTCATGAAGGAGATGAAAATATTTCGAGTCGACTCGATAGTCAAGCAGGAGATTTGATCAAGCTTCAAAAGAACTTGGATGATTTAGACATTGCAGTACGGAATCAGGTGAATGATTTTATTACAAAAAAGGGGCTAGAAAATATGTTATTCAATTTAGAAGGAGAAACTCTACAACAGCTGGAAAACTATAAAAAGAATCTAACATTGATTCTTGATGGAAAAGAGAAATTGTTGATTGAATCATATAAAATTGAACAGAAAGATATTTCCGATAAGTATAACCAGTTGATTATGATGGTGAATCAGTATTATAAAAATTTGAGTGATGCTGCTGAAAATTTGAATCATCGAACAGAGTTGAAACTCAAATTAACAGAACGATTTTTGATAGATAAAATAGAAAATTCATACAAAAAAATGATTCCAAATATACAAGCATTCGATAAGAACATCAAATTTCTAGAGATTGATTTGAGTTTGATGCAGAAAAACATAAGTACCATTCACATAAATTCAATCAGTGATAAGGAACAAGTTCTTCAGCTGATAGATAGATTGAATGTATCACTAGGAGCTATTGATGGAAAAGTCAAGAATGTCGTGGACAAAAATATGGAAAATATTTCCCAAGATAAGCTCCATTCAATATTGTCGGCTTCTGAAAAACAATCTCAAGATAAGTTCAACGAATTAGCGAAGAATTTGACATTGGTAGAAATAATCCAGGAACATAAAATGAAGAATTATTGTAACTCAGAGATGAAAAAAAATATGTTCTCATTGACCAACAACATAAAATTGACATGTGAAAATGCAGTACAGGATATTGAAAAGAAAACCCAATCCAATTTCACAGATTTGCAACAAAAAGTTTTTAACAATATGAGTTCTCTCAAGAATATTCTAGAACAAGTTCTGGATGAGACGCCAAAACTGAAGAAGAGCATTGAAGGAAAAATTGGAGCTGTTGATGAAACTATAAAAAATCTTATACTTGAGGTGTATGAATGTAAAGACAATTTCGTTAAAACATCTAAGAAAGAACATGATATACTGCAGACTATAAAATACAATCTAACTGAATTATACAAGAATACAGATCATGAAAATAAAAGCTTAACGAACCTACTAACCGAACTGGAAGACCTGAAAAGAAAGTGCGGAAGTATAGAACATCAATCGCTTAATCAAGCTGAGAGATTTGACGATGATCTGGGAAGATTAAGAGAAACAATTGAGTTACAGTTCAATTCCAAATTAGACGAGATATGGACATCTTCCTCTGGAAATTGGTCGATGATGAGAACTGACATAAATGGTATTAAAAAAGGAACTGAAGATAATAACGTTCTCGTTCGAAACAGAATTGAACAGACTGAACATATTTTAGGAGAGATTAAAAAAAAAATTGTTGATTACGAAAAGAAGGCGTTCCATTCGTCTTCAATCAATGACGATTTATTGAATAGACTAACTAGAAATGTTTCAGATATCCAAGAAAACATCACAATGAATACAGGCAATATATCCAAAATTCATATATCCCTAGACAGAGTGGAGTTGAATATTATTGATTTATTTAAACGTTTCTCAATGAAAACAATCGATCTTTATGAAGATATCGAAAGAATTTCTAATAACATAAGTGTTCAAAATGATGAACATGAAAACATGAAACATATCACTGGAGAAATAACAAATGATATTTGTAATATGAAAAACAAAATCACATTGAATGATAAAAATATACAGCAATTAATGAATAATGTTTCTAAACACATAAATTCTTCTCAAATCTTCTCTGAAACATTCAGAGAAGATTTAGATTTATACAAAATAGGAGTATCAAAAACGTTGGTACAGAATGAACAAAATCTGGTTGAACTGCGACGAGATATAAAAGATACTAAGCTCAAAGTTGCAATGAGTGATGTTGATATTACCAACATGAAAGCACAGATGCAATTGATCCTGGAAAATCTAGAAAGGAATAAAAAAGCTATTGAGGACGCTAAAATATCTACCATGAGCTATGTCAATGCGAGATTGGCATCTGTTACAGAAGAAATAGCCCAAATTCACAACATGCTACTTGATAATAAAAAGACTGTGAGAACTGTCGAACATGATTTCCTTGAAAAGATCAATAGCTGTTGCGAAAAATCCGAAGAGACAACGACAGATCCCGGGAATACTGCAGATGAGTTGAAGAACAAATTGTCAGGAATAGAGAAAGAGCTGAGGACACAAGCCGGAGATCTGAACGAGAGACTGAAAAAACTGGAAGAATTATACGCTCCCCCACCACCAGATAGTTTATTAAGTCCTCCTTCGGCATGAAAGTCTCATAATTAGTGTTTATTTCTAACATTAAGTATTACAGTGATGTCACTAATATATAAAGGTATACAGGGTATTTCAGTTTTTTGAAGTAAGACTTCAACAGCTTGAAGAAGACATTTTTTTATGATGAAAATCTCGAACAAACATATATGCGTGGGAGCTTCGTTTCTGATTCACAGGGTGTCAAAGTTTCAGATTTTTTTAATGTTTTTTGAATTTCCTCCTACAATTTTCGGAATAATTGATTGAAGTTTGGAATCCCCATTACACTTCAAAAACTCAATATTTGAGGCTAGTGAGCGTTTTTGAATACCTACAGGGTGATAGACTTTCAGGGGTCGTACCCAATTTAACTTTTTTGCGTGCCGCCTCTGCTTTCAATGGGACATAGATTCAGATTGTCTCTGCAATTTGGAAACTTATTGCCTCCATGTATGTTTTTCGAAAACTGTATGGATTTCGAGATAAATACCAAGAATACATTAGTTGTAATACACTTCATTTGACATTATTTAGTTTTTGAAGTTTAAGGATACGAACAAAATAAAAAAACACAATAAATTTCGATAAAATATCTTACAGTAAATGCTCAAAGTATGAACCATTTTGTCCCAGACACACATTTCAAACCGGCGCTGAATTGAACGTCTTGCGTTATTTAGATGCTGAACTGTTATTTCATGACCACGCATTTATTATGCGATGGATGAGTTCTCTTGTTTGATAAAGATGATTTATTTTGTACATCGCAAGTTCAAGTCTGAAACCAACTCACTAGAAGTCGAAACTTGTGTGGGGAGAGGAAAAGCGCGACCTACAGTTTAAAGTGGAATCCGAACCACTTCTAAGGGTACTGATAAAATTAGAACTGGCGTTTACGAGATCAAATTATCAAAGCTAACAACACCTCAACCGTCAGAAGCGACAGTCTAGCGATGTAAAGCGCTTAGACCGTGTGTCAGACAGTCCCTGATATCAAAAGTTCAACCAGTTTCTGTTATACAGGGTATCCTAGAATTTTTTACAAAACAATTTCAGATTTTGCAATCCAGTTAGAGTTTTTTTGTTTAAATAAAAACATTTTTTTTGTTATTCCTAGTTTTAATTATAATGGTGTTCAAAAATTCAATTTGATTTTGCAACTGAATTTCATTTGGTATGGAAGCTTTCGGTCATTCCATTTTCCAATAAAATGTTTAAGAAATGTCAAATAGGTGTTTTTGAGAAATAACGGTTTTATTACAAGTAATTTATTTTTGGCATTCATCTCTAGATCCATACAGTTTGCGAAAAATTCACATGAGGGCAAAAAGTTCCCGAATTGAAAGGACAATCTGAATCTAAGTCCCATTGAAAGCAGAGACGGCACGCAGAAAAGTTCTACAGGGTCGACCCCTGAAAGTCTATCACCCTGTAGGTATTAAAAAACACTCAATAGCCTCAAATATTGAGTTTTTGAAGTGTATCAGGTGTACCAAATTTCAACCAATTATTTCAAAAATTGTAGGAGAAAATTTAAAAAACATAAAAAAAAACTGAAATTTTGACACCCTGTGAATCGGAAACGAAGTTTCCACGCATATATGTTTGTATGAAATTTGTATCTTAAAAAAATGTCTCCTTCAAGCTGTTAGAGTCCTGCTACAAAAAACTGAAACACCCTGTATAGTGAGGAATTACGGGTTGGGATTATGTGTGGAAAAAATCTAATTTCTGACTGAACCAGATGTAAGTGATTGTCTTTCCCTTTCAAGACTTTTATAATTTTCTCTGCCGTACTCAGTGGTCAATGTTGATTTTTGGTAAGTATCATATTGTCGTATAAATATGGCGCAGTCAGCAGTTTTTTCAAATGGATCACCCTGTATATTGATAATCTTCGGTTGAAGTCCATATTGATCAAAGTGAAGTGACATTTTTTTTAAGAATGAAGGTATGCTCGAGGTCATATCAACCAATTTTAATGGTGTTGTAAGGAGCATGTGTAAACTGAGTTTAGATTTAAACACGCTGGCTGTTTTACCCATCAATTTTAATAATATTTTTTTCTAGTAGCGCTTTCATAAGGGCACATTTATGGTATTGTCAAAAACAAAACCTTTTGACCATTTCACTCCATATACCATTTTGGTATATGAAATTTCGATAAAAAGATTTATAAACTCGATTTTTCGACTCTGGGCCTTAACAACAATTCCACAACTAGTAGCATCACATTTTTTCAACTCTGAAACTTTCAATTAGTCTGAAGATGGTCTTTTATGAAACCGAAACATGTTTCTTGTGATTGTGGGACAACACCATTAAAATTTTTGAAGATGACTTTCAGCATTCCTTCCTTCTTCTGTATATAAGTAGTTTTTCGGACTGCTATTTTTCTAACTCACATCGATATAAAGTTTGGCGTGTCTGTGATTAGTTGTTGTAGAAATATGAGTTGAAATGTTATTTGATAAAATATGTCTGATATTCGAGTTTTACTCGTTACAAAGGTATAAACAGTCCTTAAATTGTAGACTTTCAGCAGCTTGACAGTAACCTAACCTATTAACGAATCCCCTCGATCATTTCTGTGAATGTGAACAATTCTCCAGGTTTGTCCTCCAGGGAATTCGTTGATATCTCAGGTTATTGGCAAGCCGAAGAAGGTCTAGGTATGTACTATCGTAAACTTTTTATTCGCTTTCTGTCGACTCAACGAATAAAACTAGAATCTCAAAATTTTTCCACAAATTATTTTAGACACGCCAAATTCCATATAACTGTAAGTTGAAAGAACAAGTACAGTGTGTCCAGTTTTCGATGCTTTTGTGTGATATCTCAGTTATCTTTCGAGATAGAACCTTGCGGTTTTCGCGGTCCTGTACCACTTTTCTGTGAAACTCAAGATGGAATAATAAGATTTCGCATAACTGTTTGCGTTTGTGAGATACAGGGCGATTTTGGAAATTTATACTTTTTGGACCCCCTCTATATCTACGAAGTTTCTCAGCGAAAATGTCAAATTGGAATCTTATTCCATACAGAATTTTGCGCAGAATTCAGTGGCGCACTCAAAATTTTTTTTCTGGGTATGGTTTCGGAGATACGACTCAAACTTATGATTTTTCAAATGGAACACCCTGTATTTTATAAGCTCATTAAATTCCTTATTTTTTCCCCATCAAAATGAAATATGATGAATATGTATAAAATTTTCAAAAATGCTCCAAAATCATCAAAACATTGAATTTTAATAGTGGGCTATGGATTTTTCATTTGAAAAAAGTTCCAATTGAAGAATATCTCAATTGATTCTTCCATGAAAAGGGAAAAACAATCCCAACACTAAATGATTAAGATAACACAAAAATTAGGTACCTGATAGCAACAAATGAATGGTAATAAAAAGTTCATATTCTAGAATAAGCAACTGATTTAATCTTCACTAAGACAATTGAATTTCGAAATTAATCAGTAACTTATTCATTGAATTGTTCAGATTGATATCCACTTCCCCTCACATGCTTTCTCAATACGTCTTAATGCATTCAAAATCATTAAAGGATGTCTTTGTAGTTCCTGAAAAACTGCCTTTGTTGTTGCACGAAGTTCTTCAAGATATTTGTGACTCTTACTGTATCAAGACGTATTGAGAAAATGTGTCAATTGTGTGTTATGGTAAATGGACATCAATTTGAACAATTCAGTGAATAAGTTATTGAATAATTCCGAAATTCAATTGTATTTGTGAATATTCAATCTGGTGCTTATAAATTCTACATTATGAAATTTTTATTACTATTTATTTGTTGCTATCAGGTACATAATTTTCGTGTTTTCCTAGTTAATTAGTGTTGGTATTGTTTTTGTCCTCTTTATGGAAAAATCAAAATGAATATTTCTTCAATTGGAACTTTTTCATAAGAAAAATCCATAACCCACAATTGAAATCCCATGAGGAATTTTATGAGCTTATAAAATACAGGGTGTTCCATTTAAAAAACCATAAGTTTGAGTCGTATCTCCAAAACCATACCCCGAAAAAAAATTTTGAGTGCGCCACTGGATTCTGCGTCAACTTTCATATGGGATGAGATTTAAATTTGACATTTTTGCTGAGAAACTTCGTAGATATAGAGGGGGTCCAGAAAGTATAAATTTTCAAAATCGCCCTGTATCTCATAAACGGAAACAGTTATGCAAAATCTGATTAGGCCATCTTGAGTTTCACAAAAAAGTGGCAAACGGTCGCGAAACCCGCAAGGTTCTATCTCGAAAGATAACTGAGATATCACACAAAATCATCGAAAACTGGACACACTGTACATCATGTATTTGAAAAAATATTGACATAGGAGTGATCCATTAAAATAAAAACTCCTGAATGCGCCATATTCACAACAATGCGATAGCTACCAAAAACAGAACAGAAATGAATTTCAAAAGTTTTGGATTATACAGAAATTAGTTGTTTTCACACATTCATGCTCAACCTCGTATCAGTATCCAGAAATAATCTCGAAAACAATGAAATGATTGCCTGGAAATCAGTGAAACATTAATTTGTATATGTATCGAGTCCTTTAATGATAATTATTGAAAAATTTTTGTTGATTTGTATTTATGGAAATATATTCTATGTATACTCATTGAATGGCCAAAATAGATGTGACACTTTCTCACAGAGTGACCAGAATGCTCTAGAAGTCCTGTGTCACCTATAGCATAAACTGAAATATGCATTTGCTCATACATCGACAAAAAATGGTGATGATTCCAGTTTTAATCGTGATGCTATATGTAGGTCCCTTCCAAATAGATTTTATAATTTGTGATATTTCCTCAAGCTGTATTTTTTTCTCTGTGTTCATTCGCGTTATCGTAGAGTAGAGTGAGATACAAAGTCAATATCAATATCAGGTGATTCTCTTCTTAGAATATCAAGTTTTTAATTGAAATGTGTCGTATATCACGACGAGCTTGCACTATCTCTATATCGAGAATCGCAAAAATTCTGAAGAAAAACTTTCATCACATTCAATGGTAATAGTATTGTACAAGAACATATTGAGGAAGGTATATTCACCCCAAAACTTGCTCGACCTAAACATCGAACATCAACTTTCAGACAGTTGATTGATGTTCGATGACATAACGAAATGGAAGTGGAATGCGTCCCACTATGTTATTCGA